AAGCATTCTTACTTTACAGCATTTTTTCACACCTGCCTAAAACATTTGCACAGTACTGTACATTTCAAAGGGTTTTATCGCTCAGTTGTAATTGTTCATTCTCTTTTTCTCTCATAGTTACCTGTTGTCCATGGCTCATTTATATAGCTTAGACTCAGTGAAATGTTAAATTACCAAGAAAATTAATTAATTTAAATTGTTAATGTAAATAAAACTGACTATGATAGCATGAAAAAGATTATTTAAAATACAACTAATTATATTTAAAAGTTAGTAGCCTTTTAAATGTTAAACATTTTCATTTTCAACTAGTGTTTTTATGCCAGTTTTTAATTGTTAGTGTGCCTTTCTGCTAAGATGAACATTCAAAGCAGCTAACAAAATTTTAAAAGTACAATGCAAAAATTTAAAAGCTAAAGGCTACTAAAAGTAAAGCAAATTAAAAGCCTAGGAGCCTTGAAGACAAAGATCCTTTCACATTTACCTTTGACAATGGGAGGCATCTACAAAAAGGTCTCTTATGGTTCTTAATCACTAGACAGGCAAATCTCCTAGACAGGAGAGGGAGTTGCATAGTTTGCATGTGTTCTAAAAATACCAATATTATGGAGACTTTCAGATGGCCATTTATTGGGCATTTAGGAAAAGGGATAATCTCAGCATTTCTTGCAGATTATGGAATGTATGCACTTGGCTTTGCCTCTGTCTCTCTTTAGAGAGTCTGTAAAAGCATTGTCTTTACTCTGACCTTTAAATATTAGTGACTTGATTACTTACATCTTGATTTGATTTGATTTGTATTCTGGATATTTTGTTGTTTTAAATGGCAAGCTACCCCAGCTGTGATTTCAAAAAGAAAGCTAACATATAAATCAAAGTTGTGGTGATGATGATGGTGATGGTGAATATACATTTTCAAAACTATTGAATTCTAACAGAATAACCAGTGAGATATCTATAGTTAGGTAATGAATGAAAGCAGTTTTATAGAAAACATCTATTATAAATTTTGTTGTTTCTGAAATAACACAAGAGAATAAAATACATCTGAATTATAATAATAGAAATGCTTAAAAAGCAAAATAGCCCATGGGGCTTTATAATACAGCAGTGGGTTAAAACATGGAATGGGAGGACCTTTGAAGTCTGAATTGATTGAGCCAGGAGTCACAGGAAAGTCTTTAAAGATCCATCTTTATTTTTGTGTGTTCTTGGGATGAAACTTAAAAGGATGTTTTATTTCAGTGATCAGCTTTCCCTAATCATTTCTGCTTGTCCTACCCAAACAACTAGGCAGTGCCTATGGAGGATCCCCACTTACAAGGGCTTACCAGGGAGCCTCATGGTGAACATTCTCTGCAATAGCTCCTCTCCTTTAGAATAGCAAAGATGGCCCCCATCTTCATGGCCTTCCAGAAGCAGCTGAAAACATGGTTCTTCCAGAATGCCTTTAGGGATTAATTATAACCAGCAGTACCATACTCAGTAAACTTTAGCTTATTACTTTTAGTAATTAGATTTGGATATACTATTTAAGTAGTTATTATATTGATTTTGTATTATTTTGTATATAAGTTCTGTAAGCTGCCTAGAGTCTGTCTGGCTTCAGACAGTAAACATATCCTATAAATAGATAAATATTTGGAGCAAGCAGAAAAATTCTCCATATTACTATATATTTTTAAAACCGGCATTTATTGCAACATAGTAATGTCATACTGAATTCATTTTAATAGAAAACTATTATTGTTATTTCAGGAAATTTAGCCCTACTATAAAAGCATTCAGAATTCTGAAAAATCTTCTGCCACAAAACCCACTGATACTTGTCTTTGATAGGTTTATAAGAATAAGGTTTTTTTAGATTTTTATCTCACCTTTATTATTTTTATAAATAAATCAAGGTGGCGAACATACCTAATACTCCTTCCTTCTCCTATTTTCCCCACACCAACAACCCTGTGAGGTGAGTTGGGCTGAGAGAGAGTGACTGGCTCAAAGTCACCCAGCCGGCTTTCATGTCTAAGGCGGGACTAGAACTCACAGTCTCCTGCTTTCTAGCCTGGTGCCTTAATCACAAGTAATTCTTCTGGACCAATAAATTAAGGAGCACAAATTGTTTCCATTCTTACAATAATAAATGTATCTGTGCTTATTCCCACTCTTGCAATCAATTGGCTGATTTGTTGACATCTTTCTAAGTGCATAGAAAATGACAGGAGAAACTAAAATACTCTAGGACTAAAAAAAGCAGGCATGTCAGGGGAAATATTGAGGAAGGAATACTGATTTTTGAAAAAATGGTTTCATGGTTTTACAACAATAAATTTATTCTTTTTAAAAAGTTGAAGTTAACTTTTTGTAACTAGTTAAAACTTAAACTTAAAATAAAAAAATTAAGTTAGCTATTCTATATTTTCCAAACAACACAGTGTCTCAAATAACAATATAAATAATTTTGGTCTACAGCTAAATAAAATATACTACCAAAAACTTCAAGTCATGCTATAATTAACCATACATAGTATATATTTCAGACATTCTGATTAAATTGTAGAAAAAAAAACCTGATTAGGGATGCACAAAACTCACTAATTCAGGAACAGAACATTCTGGGGATGGCTTTCAATTTGGAGAGTTTACTTTTGGAAGTTGCTGAATTGCCCCGAGGAGGACATAACAGTTTGGAGAAGGTTCAACATGGTCCAGAGGGAGAATAGAACATTGTACTATTCTCTGGAATGTTTAATTTTGCACATCTCTGTACATGATAATAAAAGGCACTTGACAGTGGAACTAATTATCAAGATACTGAGTTCCCCTTTATTGGATATGCTCAAGCAGAGGCTAAACAGCTGTCTGTCTGGATATTTCAATATGGATTCTAGCACTGAGCAGGGAATTGGACTTGATTCCCTTAATGGCCCAACTCTACAGTTCATTGAATCAAAAGAAGAAATTATGCTTCCAATTCCAAACTTCTCCTTGCAGACATCTGAGAAGGAGAGGGAAAGTATACTGGCCTGGTTTACTTTGGCAACACTAAACTACTAATTACAAGCAAGAATTTGATGGCTACGGCTGTACTTTTACATTATTTTTTGGGAGCAGCTGAATGCTGCAATGGGGTGGAATAAATAACATCACTTAACAGAAGTGGGCAGAATTAGACTTTCAAGGAATGTTGTGCTTTTCATTTTGGTTTCTTACATGTGCTAACTCTTTCCCCCAACATCTTCTTTTCCTTCCTGATGAAAATAACCTTCTTTGGTGAGGTGGTCTTTAAGAGATTATGGAGCTGCAAAACATTTTTAAGTTCCTCATGCAGCCCACTGTCCCCAATTGTCTACCCAAAGTTAAAACTTTCAGCTAACCCAGATCATTCTGTAATTGCAATACCTTTATCACTTTCTACCCTTGCTTAACCGTTCATGTTTTTGCACCTTATATTATCTAAGCTATAAATTTGAGATAAAAATTGTGGGCCATAACTTGTCTGTCTGTATCGCATGTATGGACACTTATATATATTATAAAGCTGATAATTTATATTAGTATTAAATTATTAATTCACATTAGTGTAAAACTGACATTTTGTCATTTAGAATATGTTCTGAATAAAAATGAATTATACATTAATAACCCTATTATTTAGAGGTACGAGGTAGAATAATAGGCAGCCTTTTAATAACAGCAAAATAAGTATCTGATTATTTAGATAAGTATTTTTTTTCTGTAGTAGAAAAAGCCTTATAAATAGTGTAGATTTGTAAAATGAAACACATTTTCAAAAGAGCATATGTAATGAAAACCAGATTGTAAAGTTAATGTGGAATCAACACTAATGGATGATTGCTATTTAATAATCCAAACCATTTGTAGAATTGTAAATTGCTATCTCCTACAGCAGTGTCTTAAATCTTTCCCTATGACCTTTGCATTTGAACAGGCCCTTATTTCTAGCACTTCTCCAGCAATATCAGGAACTGATCAGCATTCTTCAGTTTCAAGTTACAAATTATTGTATACGAGTTTCTGTTACAAGTATTTTACAGGATGCCGAGAGTCATTACTGGGATGACAACAAAGCTTTTTATGAGGTGCGAGTACTATCCTTCATTTTTATACAAATGTGTTTTATTTTTGTTTCTTTTTGACTGATTTGGAAAAGTAGGTTCAAAACAATCTGGACTCAAGGTAAGGTTTTAAGATTGTATCCACTCATCCAGTTGCCTGCCTGGTACATCTTTGAATGGATTTGGTAAGACACAAGGCCAGTAAGTTTTCATTGACATCCAGTAACCCTGTTACGTCTCTGCATTAGATGTGATTCCACCATTCCTGATATAAATGTACAACAGAACTACAATTCGGTACAGTTCTCTTTTTGCATAATGTTCTTGGTCAGCAAGATCTGGAAAATATTTTGCTTTAAACTTTTTAAAGATACTTTGCATAAAATAGAACTTGTAAAAGAAGGCCCTGGAATTACAAAAGAATAGTAATTCTTACATTGCCTTTGCATGCAGTGTGACTATTGGAAACTAACATAGAAAATTAATTTTGAATTCTGGACCACTGGACCTTATTTAATATTGCATTTAAGGCAGATAGTGAGAATTAGCAATGCATAAAAGTTACGGGAGCATCGGTTTTGTGCAGTGATGTCAAAACTTTCTAGTAAATAAACTCATCAGCTGCATGAATACTGCTTTGCTTGCAAATTAGCCCTCTATATAATTTTAGGATCAGTTTTTTATTTTAATAAAGCTCTGCAGCAAATGTTAAACTTCTGTTTCTTAATTGTCAAAAATAAAGTTAGTAAATAATGTGAATGGCTTATGGAATACTGCCTAGCTGCCCATTTCCTCACATAAAATTTAAATAAAATACCATATCTGTTTTATTGCATGTGGTTTGCAAAAGCAGAAAATGTTTATCCATTTAACTATTTTCCAATAGCAACAAATATAAAATAGGAAATTGTTTCATGTATATATAAATGAGAACTCTAATTACAAAGCTTATTAAGACTTTGTAAACAAAGTTTATTAAGAAGCTTTTATTTGTATACATAAAATTATACATGTGTATATGTATCTGTCTATCTTGGTATTTCGTGAGTTTGGTTGTTCTCTTGCAGACATTTCATTACCAGGCTAGGTAACATCATCAGAGATGGGAGACTCAAATTTGCTGGTTGTTTGTGTGTAGTAGCTTGCCCTGCCAGTCTTGCTTGGGATGCAGTTTCTTCCCTGATGGTTTCTTGATTAGGGTATTGTTTCTTCCCTGAGTGTGTATCTGGTGCTATTTCCTACTTATCTGGATGTTGCTAAGGAGAGTGTGTTCTGGGCTGTTTGTTTCCTTCCTTGACTTTTGGTTATGTCTTCACATTAATAAAATGCTCACATATAATAAATTGATTTGATTCTAATATTGGAAGAAATGTCTATTGGTAAGGTTATTTTTAATGATTATGCTTTAAAATAGTATCCCATAGTAGTAAATATTACATATTAGACTAGAAATTGCAATAATCATTTGTCTTTAATTACATATTAAAATTATGAAATTATGAAAAAGTGTAAAGATAATGAATTGTCACAAAAATGATCACATTTGTTAAAATATAATACAGAGATAATGCCATAGTCCTAGCATTCTAATAGTGATTAAACTTTTACATATATTTACCAAATTATTATGGACAGTAGTGCTGTCAGATATAACATTAAAATTAAGACTTAATCTGTTATTATGGGCAAATAAGAGCTTGACTCAATGGACACTTTCCCTTTTTTAAAGAGAAGTTTCACCAAGTTAAAAAGGGTATAGTCCCAAGTAATTGAATATAAAATTGTACCCTGATTTGCTTTAAACTTTATGGATTTTTTTTTTAGATTGTGACTGATTAAAACACCTTCTGCGGCAGTTTATCATTGATAATAATGTTTATCTGTAAAAAGTATACTTGCTAGGAATACTGTTTACTAATCATTTCCCCAACTTATGTACCACATAACTCATAATTCAATAAGTGAAGTGGGTATAAATCTGTAATCTGGAAGTAAGTGGCTTAGGGAAACTGGTGTACCTAAAGATACATTAAGTTCCTAGTAGCAGATGCACTGAAAACTATTCTCAATAACAAATAAGAACATAAATAGGACCAGCTATCCCATACTTCCTACTCTTCACAGGGGAACTTGCCATTATCACTGCAGAATTGGTGAGTATTTGGACACCTTTTAGTGACTGAATATTAGTACAGGCAGTCTTTATTTTAAATTTGTTTTAACTTGGGAAAGGCTATTTTATAGTAGTTCAAATTTGTGTGATTTGGATTAATGTAAGAAAGTTGACTTTCTAACTAATAAAGCATGAGTTGTTAGGTTTTTTAAGTCAAAATCTGTTTTAAATTTTGTGGGGATTTTAACTTAGCGCCTCTTGTTCTTCAGCAGTTTCCTTTCATCCAGAATGCATTTGATTCAGAGAATCCAAACGGAGATTGAGGAAGATAGGTTGCTATTTAAACTTTGGTTGTTTTGCCAGGGAGAAAGGTGCTCATTCTCCATCCATATGTGGCATTATTTCTGCTGTGCTCTTCAACATGACCTATGGACTGTTCTACCTCCTGTGTTAGCCCAGAAGATTCTAACAGAAGTGCTGGAAGAATCATTAGCACTTTTGGCTTGCAGATATTTTCAGGCCCAGCCCAGTTACAAAAGGACACCACAAATAAGGTAATAATTTAGCTAAATTATGTGCTTTGAATGAGATGATAGGAATAACAGTAGCTTGCTCTTGAGTTAATTGAGAACAGAAATGAAAGTGCAGTGTAACAATTAAAATAACATTAAAGCAATATGTTAAAAATTTACAATTTAAAGGCAATTGGCTTAAAAATAGTAACAGAAATTACACATTAAAATCCTGTTGAAATCAAAACATATAAAGGAAAATAGCCAGAGGTTGGTCATACATTTGATAGATGGTTATTTTACCTTACTTATTTATTTTTATTTTATTAAATTTAGAGGGCGCCCAAATCCAGATGACTCTGGGTGGCTTATGTTAAAAAATAAAAGATAATAAAAACAGAAAGAAAAATCACGAATGTCTGAAGGAGCAAACAGAATGCCCCAAAACACCTCCACAAAAAACTGATAGGGACTCAGCAGCTACCATTCAGCCAAGCCTGGGAGCAAAGCTAAGATTTCAACAACCTTTGGAACACCATCACGGTGGGAGTAGTATGGATCTCCAGTGGATGCTATTCCAGAGGGCAGACACCACAACAGAGAAGGTGAACTTCCATAACATGACATTGATTAATTGAAGGGACCTGGAGCGTGCCTACTTCATCTGATTATACTAGATGGGCAGGAACTATTGGAGATAGGCAGTCCCTCAGATATGAAGGGCTTTATGGGTGATAGCCAGCACCTAGAATTGTACCCAAAAGGCAACTGGCAATCAGTGCAGCCAGTGCTGTCTCAGTACTGTAGCTTGGCCTGAATCCTGACTGAAAAGGGTCCAGATAATCCTTTTTATCCAGGGCCCTCCACAGCTGGGAGCCCACTGCCCTTTCAACAGTCTTCCCTAAACAGGGCAAGTTGGAGACTGGATGGAAGTTATCCAAACTTGCTCATGGTCACTCATGCCTTAGTCACCTCCCGATTGGAATACTGCAATGAACAATACATAGGGCTGTCCTTGAAGACCATCCAGAAGCTGCAACTGGTCCAGAATATAGCAGCATGTGCAGTTTTGGGTGCCCCACAGTTTGCCCAAGTTACAATACTGTAGCATGAGCTGCACTGGCTCCCTGTTGATTTCTAGGTGCAATTCAATAGACCCCCACCCTTTTAGCCTTTTGGAAAGCCATCAAAACCTGACTTTTTACCCAGGTACTGGGATAAAATGAGGGTATTTGGAGTTGATTATGGGGCCTCCCAAAGGGACGATTGAGATTCTGGGTTTTGGTTTTATGGTTTTATGGTTTTATGGTTTCATGGTTTTACAGTTATGGGTTTTGTTGTTGTTGTGAACTGCCCAGAGTTGTGTTTAAGATGAGTGGCCATACATATCTTATAAATAAATACATACGTACATACAGATCCTGGTTATCACCTTTAAAGCCCTACATGGCATAGGGCCAGGGTATCTGTGGGACATCTTCTGCCTGAGGGTATCTGCCCATCCCACTAGGTCAGATAGGATGGGTACATTCCAGGTCCATTTCCTTAAATGCTGCCATCTGATAGGACCTTAGAGATGCACTTTCTGTATAGCAACTCCGGCTCTGAGCTTCCCACCTGAGATCTGAGGGGCCCCTACCCTTTTAGCCTTCCAGAAGACCAAGAAGAACTGGTTCTTCCCCCAAGCAGTGGGCTAGGATAGGGGTTGAGTCAGGAGGTTAATTGTTTGGTTGGTCTGGTGCTTAATGGGAAAGATTGTTTTGCTTTTATTTCTGTTTTTATTGGTTGTTGTGAGCTGCCTAGGATCACTATGTGAGATATGTAGCCATATGAGTGCTTTAATTTTAGTCTTGCATTTATTTATTTAAAGCATATTAATTCAAAATGCCATATTATTACTAAATAAGTTGTACAATATAAACAATTTGCTTCTGGAAATGTTACTTCTGTAGAAATTCTATAATCTTGTTAGAGGAATTGCAGATTTGAATATTTATTGAAATACTTTTTCATAGAGTTTGTAATTCCTAGTGATCTCTAAATTTAATTTTCTGTATAATGAATACACACACACACATGATTATGCTATATTACAGTACAACTGTACTTTAATATTCTTGAATTATGAATGTAATGAATTTCAAGTGGATAAACTGCTTAAGCTCTGTATTACTTCTGCTGTTCTCTATTGAATGTTAGCTTTATTGGCTTCGTATTATGGTCACTCAATCTTCTCAAAAAGATGATTGCAAATGTGTACTTTGGCTGTCATGTTTGTCATGTTAAAATAAGACTTTTTCCAGTTATATCAGTGAGAAATGGTTTATCATCTAAGCACATGGTTTATCTGCCTGTTAGTTACTGGTTACTGTTCTTTTTTTGTCATGCCATAGGCAATCAAATCACTATACCATTTGTCTGATATGTAATTCTGTAGCAACTAGGGACATGTGTTGGGCATCATAACATAGTACAGTGTTCAGTAGGGAACTGGATAGTATTGAAAGATTAGAAGGAAAAAAAGCACATTTGACAATATGAAGATCTTTGTGTGCTTAAAATTGCAAAGCAAACATAGGATTAAAGTCAGTTGGTGAAATTATTAAATATTCTGTCATATTTATACTCAGTATTGGTTTTGAAAATTGAAAATTTTTAAGAGGCAGTGATAAGAAAGGACATCCATTACTGAACAGATTTAAAATATAAATAAGTGTTGATTGCAGTCATTGCAATAGCTTCAGCTGACAACATATGTATGGAATAGGCTAGTTAAATTAAGTAGTTAGGTGTGTTTTTTTTAAATAAAAACTAATGTTACCCAATAAATGTTAGCAAATAATAATTCTGATCCAGAATTCAGCATGTATGCAAGAGAATTGCTTTTCTGTTCATCTTTATGAAGTGAGTTGATCCATGTGTGTAAAACAAATATTAGAGATTATATCAATTCATTAAATTTTGTCAGGGAATTGTTTGAAGCAGGGAAAGTCTGAGTATGTTTCTAGTACTTTTTTTTTTTTTTTTTGAGGGTTAAGGTTAGGGTTGCTTTTGAGTCAGTCTTGATAATCTCTTATATAAGTCCACGCAATTTTCTTGGCAGCATTTTTGGAAGTGGTTTGCTATTGCTTTCTTTATAGGACTGAGAGAGAGAGTAATTGGGCCAAAGTTACCTGGCTGGCTTTTGTGCCTAAGGCAGAATTAGAACTCGCAGTCTCCTGACTTCTAGTTCAGCACCTTTAATCATTACACTAAGCTGGGCTTCTTCATTATTATAAGTCATTATTATAACTCATTATTATAATCAGTTTCTGTGATGGAATGGAATTATGA